GCGCCCAGCTGACGCGCGCCCCCTGCAGTACGACCAGCGCGCCATCGCCAAGGCCTGCGGGAAGGACGTGCCCACGAGGCTAGCGCAGGGCCGCAGCACTATGGAGGTACCGCTCGAAGATGACGCGGAGGTGGCCGAGGGTGCGGGAGTGGCTCCGCAAGGGCAGCCTGGCGTCCCTCCCAGGCCCGAGGCACCCCTCGAGTACCCACGCACACCCCCACCAGGTGGCCAGGGAGAAGCTGCGCAAGTACGTCTTCGACCGCGTGAATGTGCACAACGCGTTGATCCACTTGGTGCGGCTGCGCGGGGAGCGGTTGGAGAGCTTGCAGCTGGAGTTTACGCGCCTGCGCCGGCAGCCTGAGGCCACCAAGGAGGAGGCGCGACTGCTGCAGGTGGGACCCGGCAAGGCGAGGAGCCGGGCTCTAGGGGGAGAGGTTTCCGAATGGGGCGGGGCTCTCCAGGGAGGCAGAGGCCTATGAGCTTCGGTGGGGGGGTACAGTGGGTGGGGCTACTTCGGGGGGGCGGGGCCACATCTGTGGAAACCTGTGCCCAGTGAAGACCTGTCCCAGGTCATCCGCCAGCTGGAGAACAGCATCGAAAAGACGACCATCAAGATCACCACCAGCCAGAACATCCGCCTGCTGTACGTGGACCTCCTGGAGTACCTGAAGAAGGTGCGGCCCTCCTGCTCTAGGGTCTCAGGCCCTGCTCCTCGGGAGCCTCCCTGCAGGGCACCCAGGGCCTACCGCCCTCCTCTGGGCTCCCCGAGAAGCACGTGGAAACTCTGAAGAACTTCATTTTTAGCAGGGTGTGCTGGCGCAGGACTGAAATCCCAGACCTTTGGGAGGCTAAGGCAGGAAAATCACAAGTCCGAGTCCCACCTGGGTAATTCATCAAGACACTCTCTCAAAATAAAAAATAAAAAGGAAAAAGGAGGCTGAGGGTGTAACTCAGTACTCCTTGGGTTCGATCCCCAGTACCACACACACAAAAAGAACTTCATTTTTGCAAATCCCAAAAAGCACATGAGCTTTGCTGCAAAAATCCCCTAACATCCCCAGGCAGGGGCAGCTCCCTCCCATGACTTCCAAGGCCATTGGGCACACAGCCCACTGCCACCTCATCCGCTTTTCAGGATCCAGCAAGAAACCAGTAGATCTTGGTCCCTGGAGGGCCCTGCCCCTACCCCGGAGCATTCCCCCCCCACACTCCTCCCTCACCTGGTGTCAGTCGGAGCTGGCACCTCCTTCTCAGAGTACACACACTTAGAAATGCCCATGGTCATCTACACTTTACAAAAACCTGGCAAGGACTCAGCATTCATAGTCATTAACCACAAAATACTAACAGCCAAATCACACAATCTGGCCTTGTGCTGAACACTCCATTGATCTGACTGCGACTTTCTGAAAAGTTTCCACAGGTGGGGATGCTCAGTGAGGGTAGGGACCTTCTAAGACACAGCTGGCCAGTCACAAGTGGCCTTGGCCCTGAGCTCTGACTCCGGACACCAAGCCCACATCGGAGCCCAATGCAGTCCAAAGCTCCCCCGCTTAAATCCTGCGTTTCAGAGTCAGCTTTGCCAGGGGTAGAACATTAATTTCATCACAACCTCTTTTGTCCACAGCCAGGCATGATACTCTGGGAGGCTGAGGCAGGAGGGTTACAAGTTCCAAGCCTTACCTTGGCAAATTAGCAACTTAGCAAGACCCTGTCTCAAAATAGGGAAATTTAAAAATGGCTGAGGGTATAGCTTAGTGTGAAGGTCTTGGGTTCTGTTTCCAGCACTGGGTGTGCAGTGGGGTAAGTTGCTGGGCTGTTGGCCCGGGCTGTGGGAGGGATGCCCAAGCTGGCACTACCAGGCCACCCTGTCATCTGCCCTAAGCCTGGCCAGTGGCTGTGCTACAGACCAGGCCCATCACAGCCCTTGGGGCTCATAGCCACGGTATGGAGTAGAGGAAGGCAGAGCCCACTTAGCGCGGGGCCAGTGAGAGAATTGGCGAAGGGCCCTAGAGGCTGGCATGAGGCTGCCTCAGCTCCATGCCCACCTGCTTTGCCCACTCTGAGCAGGTGCTGGCGGGGTACCCTGTGGTGCTGGACAAGCTGCAGAACCGGGTGATCGGCTACGGCTCGGAGCTGTCTGACATGACGATCCTGTCCCAAGATGCCATGATGATTACAGATGAAGTCAAGGTGAGTCTGAGCCAGGCTGAGCCCCCACCGCCAGCTCTCCTGGGCCTGTCTGGCCCCAGGCCCATCAGGACACTTCTGGGCGCAGAAGCCATGAGGAGAGTGTGGCCAGGACAGGATCCCCATGATGTTCCCGGGGGACAGCAGGCCTGCCTGAAGAAATACCACAGGGCTCAGGCTGGCTCAGTGGAGGTGGGGTGCTGGGGGCCCAGCTCCAGCAGAGGGGAGAGGGACCCGAAAGGCAAAGCCCCTGCGCCAGGAGGCACTTGGAGCAGGGAGGTGCACATGGCTAGAGCAGAAAAGGCTGTGGAGGAGCAGACAGCAGGGTCCCCTGGTCTGGAATCGTAAAGGCAGAAAGAGGAAGGTCAGACTCATGCTTCAAAATGGTGAGCTCTGGCTGCAGGGCTGGAGGGCGCCACTTGGGGCAGGCAACGGTGGAGTGGGCTGGCCAGAAGTGGACAGAGCAGAGAAGTTACCCGATGAGCACAATGGTGCAGGAGGAAGCAGTATCCAGGATGCAGGAGGGGAAAGGGGATGCTGGCTGCAGCCACCAACCAGGGTGAGCGAGAAGCGACTGGGCCATGGGGCTGGCCCCAGTCTGTTTATAAAGTGTCTAGTCCACTTCGTGGGTTTGGAGTGCAGCGGGCCAGCAGGCACCTTCAGGAAGGGAACTGGAGGGCAGTGGAGGAAGAGCCAGGGCTTGAGAGTGAAGTCATGGGCATGTGCTGGGGGATCCTGGTCATAGGCAAAGGGACCTGCATGGGGATGGTGAGGCATATTTGGAAGAAGGGCATGGCCAGCAGTCTTACACCCCACTCCATAGTCCAGAAAGATAGGACTGGAAGTTGACCACGGCTTTAAAACCAGGAGGGGCCTTGGTGAGACAGCATTCCTGCAACATCCCTTGTCCCCAGAGGAACACCAGGCAAGGGGAAGCAACCTTCATCCAGGAGCGCAGGGCACGGGAGAACCGGCTCAACCAGCAGAAGAAGCTCATCGACAAGATCCACACCAAGGAGGCCAGCGAGAAGCTCCGCCGGGTGCGCCTCAGGCCATGTGGGACCTCGGGGAGGCCCCTCCAGTCCAGAGCCTGCTCACCCTGGCCTCACCCTCTCTCCGTCAGGGCCACAGGGACCTGGACTTCCCCAACAGCAGGATGAGTACAGACACCCTGAGTGAGTTGCAGCCCTCGGCCTGTCCCCACCTGGGTGTCCAGACATTGGCCACCATGAGGACAGCTGCACCCTGTGGCCACCAGAGTGGGGGAGACTATCCCCTGTTGCCCATGCCGAGCCTGAGAGCCGGTGGCTGTGTGGCTGTAGGAAGGCCATCCATGGCCCAGGGCCTGGTCACTGGTGATTCCTAGGGCTGCTGCCGAGAATGCCACCAAGCCCATTGCCATGCTGTCCTTGTCTCTGCCTGGGGTTCCCCCAGCTAAGGAGGGAGCAGGCCCAGGGCAGGTGGCCCAGGGTGCCCAGCTCCTCCATGGCCTGCTCCGTGGCTGCACGTGTGGAGAGGAGTCCGAAGGTGGTCCAGAGTGCTGACGGCCACTTCCTCTCCCTCTGCCCAGTGAAGAGAAAGGAGACCTCTGAAATGGACATCCAATACCAGGCCAACGTGACCGCCTCCGTGGAGAGGGTCAAGTCTGCTGTGCAGTGCTCCCACCTTTGGGTGAGGCCCCCTCTGCTCTGGGCTTGGGTGGAGCACTGATGAAGACATAGGACACCCCTTAGCCCCTCAGTGCACCTGGACAGGCTGTTCCCAGGTGGGGAGGAGCACCGGACCTGAGGGCCCAAAGGCTAAGGGCATGGTTTCTACCTGCAGCACCAGCCCTGCCCAGCCAGGTAGCCCCAGTGAGCAGCTGCCTCTCGCCAGGCCCTTTTCACTTTATGCCTGCCCAGGTTCATTGTTATTTGGGCCTTACACACCCATCCATGGCCTTGACTGGAACCTGTCCATCTGGGGTCAAGCAACTCAAGGTGATGCTTGGTCTGCCTACCTGCAGATGGGGTTTTTATGCCCTGCCCATGGTCGGAGACCATGACACACATAAGGCACTGTGCCACCAGGTATGTTAGCCACACCTGTGATCCCAGCACTATGGGAGGCTGAGGCAAGAAGATCACAAGTTTGAGCCAAACCTGGGCAACTTAGCAACTCAGCAAGACCCTTTATCTAAATAAAAAATAAAGCACTGGGTTTATCTCAGTGTGAAGGCCATGAGTTCAGTCCCCAGTCCTGGGGGGCAGTGGTGGGCCTCTCCCAATCCACATCCTGGGCAGTGGTCAGAGCAACCACTGAGCCCTCAGTACAGAATGCCACTTGGGCCCTGCCCTCTGAGCCCACACCTGCTTCTTTCCGCCTAGGACATCGCTGGCCGCTTCTTGGCCCAGAAGAACACCGAGGAGAACCTGGAGCTGCAAATGGAAGACTGTGAGGACCGGCGGGCGCAGCTGGGGGCCCTGATAAAAAAGCTGCAGCTCGAGGAGGTGCTGCTCAAGTTCCACCAGGCACCCAGTTCCATCAGGTACGCTGCTCGCAGGCTGCCGGCCCCCCGGACCACCTGCCTGCATCTGAGCTGCAGCCCCTGGGATTGGCACAGGACCCAGCTCAGGACCTGGCCTCCTTGCCCTCCATGGGCCCTATGGGCTGTGCCACCTTTGTCCCTGTCCTCCACAGCTTTAAGTCTGTTGAGGAAAAGATGAACAACATGCTGAAAGAGGAAGAGGCAAGGCTCCAGCTGGCCCACAGCAACATGACCAAGAGCCAGCAGCTGCTGCTGATCATCCAGACTGGCATAGACAACCTCTACATCCGGCTCATCGGCATCACCTTGCCTGCCAGCCAGGTACTGACCGAGTGGGGAGAAGCCAGTGCACACAGGGTCCCTGGGTTGAACCAGAGGGGAGACCAGACTGTGCTTCCCGCCTGCAGAAAGAAGCAGTGCCCTCTGGCATCCTCGATGTGCACAGCAAACTGGCCTACTGCGAGAGGAAGCTCACCCACCTGGCTGATCGGGTGCAGGCGCTGTCCAGGACCGAGGAGGTAGCCCTGGGCTGGGGGCACCCATGCACCTCAGGTCCCCTCTGAGCTGACTGACGGGGACATGGCCCTGCAGGTCAACACCAAGGTGAAGGATGCCCTGGAATCCTCGACGCTAAAGGAGAGATACAACACCAAGATCAGCTTTGAGAACCTGGAGGAGGACGTGATAGGTGAGGTCAGAGGGAGGGCACCCAAGGCCACAGCTGGAACCAGTCACAGGACAGCACCTACTCCACCTGTCCAGGACAGTGTGGGCGACAGGTACCCAGAAGGGTTTCAGTCCATTAGGTGACTTAGTGATGACTTGCAGAGAGGCTAAAGCCGTTGAAACAAGAGGAGGGGGGACACATGACAGGGGTCGCGGTTAAGGCCAGGCCGGAGACTTTGCAGGGGCTTCGGCAAAGCAGAGCAGGGCAGCTGAGGAGGACTGGCCAGCGTGGGCGGCCCTGGCAGGCCCTGGTCGCCTGGTCTCTGGGGCCTTGGAGTGGGGAGAGTGCTAGTTGGAGGGGCTCCCGACCCTCTGTGTGTCTAAGGACGGGTCAGTTGGGATGGGGCAGCCTGTCCCCAGCAGGCAAGCCACACTAGATGGAGCAGCTGGGCAAGAGAGGCGGGAGCACGCCGCTAATCTCCCGCTCTCCTTGCAGAAAGCTTCCAGTTTGCAGACATGGACCTGGACCACAGCTACATCCCCTCTCGGGCCGAGATCAAGAAGCAAGCCCAGTGGTTGATTGAGGGCAAACTCAAGGCGCCCAAGAAGAAGAAGAAGTAGCCCCGCCCGGGCTTATTTCACAAATAAACATTTTTCCAGGGATAAGGGTACAACTAGAGGACTAGAAGCGAGGAGCTGGGCGCGCGAAGGCGGGACCTGAGCGGGGAGGGGCCGCGGGGCCCACGGCT